TGAGCCTGAGGAAGGCATCTTTGCTCCAGGCCACAGTGCCCAGAGGAAGCACCACTAAGAAGGGCAGGCTGGTTTGGGTCCCCAGGAGTTCTACCTGCTCTCCTTCCCCCATTCTCAAAGTTCACAGGGTAGAAATTATTGAAACAGGTTTCAACCCTATACCAGGAAGGACTTTCTTTTGAGACAGAATCTGAAGTTGTTGCCCTGAGTAGAGTGCCGTGGTGTCACAGCTCACAGCAACCTCCAACTCCTGGGCTCAAGCGATTCTCCTGCCTCCATCTCCCAAGTAGCTGGGACTACAGGTGCCTGCCACAACTCCCAGCTATTTTTTGGTTGTAGCCGTCATTGTTGTTTGGTGGGCCCGGGCTGGATTCAAACCTGCCAGCTCAGATGTATGTGCCTGGTGCCTTAGTCGCTTGAGCCACAGGCACTGAGCCCAGGAAGGACTTTCTAATAGCAGGATCCTAGAGGAGGGGAGGCAGACATCCCCTGAAACTCTACTCTGTACCAGGCCTTGCACTGGGCCCTGGGACACAGACATAATTCAGGCTGAGTTCTAGCCTTCAAGAAGATGGAGAGGGATCAGTAAACTGATAGCAATAACCCTGAAGACTGGCTCCCCAAGAGAATAATAAGAGCTAAAGTGATTGATCCCTTAGCATGCTAGGTGCTTTGCTAGGCACCCTAACCCATCTGAGCTGGGTGCTGTTTTACAAACAAGACACCGGAGCCCAAGTGGTGAAGCATCTTGCTTGGCCCCTGCAGCAAGCACAAGCGCCAGAGTCCTGAGGCCCGTGGCACTCCGTTAGAATATAAGAAGATTGATTTGTAACATAAATACAGAGAAGGATTTCTTAAAACAGAAGAATACAAAGGAAAGATTGATAAATTCAATTCATTACAACGAAGAGCTTCCATTAAAAAGAAATAATGCCATCAAGAAAATGAAGCTGTAAGTCACAAACCAGCAGAAAGTATCAAGAATTCCTATAAATCAGGGCGGCGCCTGTGGCTCAGAGGAGTAGGGCGCTGGCCCCATGTGCCGGAGGTGGTGGGTTCAAACCCAGCCTTGGCCAAAAACTGCAAAAAAAAAAAAAAAGAATTCCTATAAATTGACCCATTGCCCATAGCTCAGTGAGTAGCCAGCCATATACACTGAAGCTGACGGGTTCAAGCCTGGCCTAGGCCTACTAAACAATGACAACTACAACCAAAAAATAGCCAGGTGTTGTGGCAGATGCCAGCTACTTGGGAGGCTGAGGCAAGAGAATCGCCTAAGCCCAGGAATTGGAAGTTGCTGTGAGCTGTGATGCCATAGCACTCTACTGACTGTTTCAAAAAAAAAAAAAATTCCTATAAATCAGTGAAAGACAAATGACCAATAGAAAAATGGACAAAGAATGTGAAAGGCACTTTTACAGAAGAGGAAACACGAATGGCCTTGAACTATGAAAAGGTGCTCACCCTCATTAGTAATCAGTTAAGTGAAAACTAAGACCAGGAGATACCATTTCACACCTGCCGGACTGGCAATGTTACATAACAGCGTTATTGAGGCCGTAGAATGAGACTTCTAGACACTGCAGGTGGAGTGCAAAGCAGAATAACCGCTCTGAAAACAAGCTGGCATTATCTTAGATTCCCTAACAGAGCAATTTGATTTCTAGGCACACATGCTGGTGAAACTGCCCCACAGGTTCAAAAATGGACGTAAACAAGAATGTTCATGCCAGCTTGGTACTGGCAGAAAACTGAAACCCAAATGTCCATCAACAAGAGAACGGCTGAAGTTTGAATTACTCACAGCATGTAATATTACACAGTGGTGAGAGTGAATCAGTTCTAGCCACACACAATAATATGGGTAAATACTAGAAATACGTTTAAAATTACTTCTAAATTTGACACTCACATTCATTTTTATCCATTGGAAGAAGTTAGAGTATATGGTGTGAGGTAGGGATCCAATTTAAATGTTTTCCATCTGGATGTCCAGTTGTTAGGGCTGCCCATCCTTTGTCCAGTGACCGGCATTGCCACCCTGTGTGTCCTGGTCTCTCTGTGCCTGTGAGTCTGGGAAGGCACTTCTCTTCTCTCAGTCAGTTTTTCTATCCCTGTACTAATATCATACCACGTTAATTTACCATAGTTTTGTCATAATATCTTGCAGGAAAGTCCATTCCCCTACCTCCAGCTCCAGTCTTCTTTAAGTATTCCTTGGCTATTCTTGCTCTTCCACAGATATTTTAAAATCAACTTTTAAATGAAAACCCATGTTGAAATTTTGATTGGCATTCCATTTACTCCACTTTGGGGTGAGACGGAGCTCTTTATGATTATTCTTATCTAGAAGCGTGTCATTTTTTAATGACTTTCTACAATGTTTTATATTTTTGTCCATACATGTATCTTTCTCTGAAAGGTTTATTCATAAGTTTCTTAGGGTTTTTGTTGCTATTGTGAATTACATCTCTTTTAAAAACATTTTTTTTTGTTTGTTCCTGCGGAATAGAAATACAATTCCTTTTTTAGTATTTATCTTATATTCAGCAACTTTGCCAAGTTCTCTTATTGTTTTTATTAATTTTTTGTGGATCTTTTTCAGATTTCTGTGCAGACTCCCATAGATGGGAATGTTGACCATTTTATTTTTTCTTTTTCAATTTTTCTGTTTTCCTTTTCTTTTTGAGAAGTAACAATGATAGTAAACATCCTTGTCTTTTTTTTTTTTATTAAATCATAGCTGTGCACACTAATACTGTCATGGGGTACAGTGTGCTGTTTTTATATACAATTTGAAATATTTTCCTCAAACTGGTTAACATAACCTTCATGTTATTTTCTTAGTTATTGTCTTAAGACATTTATATTCTACATTTAGAAAAATTCACATGTACCCTTATAAAATAAACATCCTTGTCTTATTCCTGATTTTAAATGCTTCTAATATTTTACCATTGTGGGTAATGTTTACTGTAGGGTTTCCACAGATAACCTCTGTCAGATTAAAGACCTTCTGTTTTTAAAATAGAATTTATTTATTTTTATTTTTTTGAGAGAGAGTCTCACTCAGGCACCCTGACTGAGTGCCGTGGCATCATAGCTCACAGCAACCTCAAGTTCTTGGGCTCAAGCAATCCTCTTGCCTTAGTTTTTCTATTTTCTTTCTTTTTTTTTTTTATTGAATGGTAACTATGTACATTACTGCACTTCTGGGGTACAGTGTGGGGTTTTCACACACAATCTGAAACACGTCCATCAAACTGGTTAACATAGCCTTCGTGTCATTTTCTTAGTTATTATTTTAAATCGTATTTACTCTTAGAAAGATTCACTTGTACCCTTGTAAGATAAACCTCAGAAGTGATCCCTCCAATCCCCCTCCCTCTACCCATTCCCCCCTCCCCACTCCCCCTCACCCTTTCATTAGGCTGTTATTAGGTTATAGCTTACATATAAAAGGTATAAATTAGTTTCATAATAGGGCTATGTACATTGGATACTTTTTCTTCCATTCTTGTGATACTTTGCTCAGACGAACTTTTTCCAGCTCTATCCATGTGAACATGAAGGACGTAAAGTCTCCATCTTTAGTTTTTCTATTTTCAACAGAGACAAGGTCTCGCTGTTGCTCAGGCGGGTCTCAAACTCCTGTGCTAAAGCAGTCCTCCTGTCTTGGCCTCCCAGAGTGCTAGCATTACAGGCATAAGCCACCACACCTAGTAAAATTTATTTTTTGAGCGGTTTCCATTACAGCAGAATGAGTGGAAAGTACATAAAATTCCCCTAAATCCCTTCCCTCCACACATACCTAGCCTCCCCAACTGTCAGCATCCCACATCAGAGTGGTAAATTCGTCACAGTCAATGAACCTACCTCAGCACACCATTATCACCCAAAGCCCATAGTTTGTTTTAAGTTTCACTCTTGAATTTTGACAAAAGCATAAGGACACGTATAAACATAATGACATATGTCCACCATTGTACTACGCAGAATAGTTTCACTGACCTAAACATCCTCTTTGCTCTGCCTGTTCAAACCCACTTCCCTTGGCAACTGCTAATCTTTTTACTGTGTCTGTAGTTTTTAATTTTCCAGAATGTCATATGATTGGAGTCAGACAGTACGAATCCTTTCAGGTTAGCTGTTTTCACTTAGTAATACACATTCACGTCTATTCCACGTCTTTTCGTGGCCCGAGAGCCCATTGCTTTTTAACACCGAATGATACTCCCTTGTTTGATGCGCCGCAGTTCATTTATTCATTCACCTACTTCATCACATCTTGGTTGGTTCCAAGTTTTGGTGGTTACAAATAAAGCCACTATAATCTCCTATATGCAGGGTTTTTTGTGGACATAAGTTCTCAGCTCTTTTGGGTGAACATCAAGGAGTGTAGTTCCTGGATTGTATGTTAAGAGAATGTTGAGTTTTGTAAGAAACTATCTTCCAAAGCGGCTGTACCAATTTGCACTCCCGGCAGCCAGAAACGAGAGTTCCTGTGGCTCCACATCCTCATCAGCGATTGCCATGGTCAGTCTGGGGTTTTGGCTGTTCTAATGGATGTGTAGCGGTATCTCAGCACTATTTTAATTTTCAGTACCCTAATGACGTGTAAGGTTGAACATATTTTTGTATGCTTTTTGGCCATCTATATAAGATATCCGGTCAGATCTTTTGCCTGTTTTTTAATCAGGTTTTTTTATTGTTAAAGTTTAAAAATTGTTTGTGTATTTTAGAGAACAGTCATTTATCAGAAGGGTCTTTTGCAAATATTTTATCCCAGAATGTGGCTTATCCTCTCACGCACCCGATGATGTCTAGTTCTTCATTATAAGGACGACCAGCTTATGCAACATTTTGAGATTTTATGGGTCATCCTTTTGGTGTTGTATCTAAAAACTCATCGCCAAACCTCACGTCACCACGATTTTCTCCTATGTGTTACTTTCTAGATTTATTTCTCGATGTTGTATTTTCCATTTTGGTTGGTCTGTAATCCATTTTGAGTTGATTTTTTGCGAAGTCTACGTCCAGATTCTTTTCTTTCTTTTCTGCATGTGGATGGCCTACTTGTTCCGGCATCGTTTGTTGAAAAGGCTGTCTTTTCTCCACTGTTAAAGATCAGTTGACCATAGTTATGTGGGTCTGTTTCTGGGTTCTCTATCCCGTCCCACTCATCTGTCTGTCTGTTCTTGTGCCAATACTAAACTCTCTTGATTACTGCAGCTTGCTAAGAATGCTTAGAGCCAAGCCGTGTCATCCCCTGACTTGGTTGTTCTCTCTCAGTATTGTGCTGGCCATTCCGGGTCTTTGCTTTTCCATATAAACTTTAGAATTAGTTAATTGATACTGGAAATAGGACTAACCGGGATTTTGATTAGGATTGAATTGAATCTGTGGATCAAGTTAGGAAGAACTTAACCTCTTGACAATATCAAGTCTTCCTATCCATGAGCAGGAATGTCTGTTTATGTAGTTCTTTAGTTTCTTTTATCAGAGTTTTGTGGTTTTCCTCACATAGATTATCCACATTTTGCTAGATTTATATCTAACTATTTCATCTTTAGGGGCCGCTAATGTAAATGACACTGTATTTTTAATTTCAAATTCTGCTTGTTTGTTGCTGGTATGTAGGAAGGTGATTGACTTTTATATATTCATATTATGTCCTGCAGCCTTGCTGTAATTGCTTATTGGTTCCAACATTTTAGGGTTTTTTTTTTTTTATCAGTTTGTCTGTATTCTACATGTATTTTATGTCATCTATAAACAGTTTTATTTCGTCCTTCCTCATCTGAATGTCTTTTATGGCCTTTTCTTATTACATTAACTAGGACCTCCAGTAGACATTGAAAAGGAGTGGGGAGCGGGGACATCAAGTTATTCCTTTTTATTCCTAATTTGCTAAGAATTTTAGAATATATGAGCATTGGATTTTATCAAATACTCTTTCTAATCTATTGAGGTTGTTTTATATAGCTTCACTACTTCAATTTATATATATGATGAGTTAATTTACAGATTTTTCTGAGGTTAAATAGTTCTTACATTCTTGGGATCCACCCAAGGTGATTATAATGTGTTATCTTTACATCAATCAATTCAAGATTTTTGCATCCTTTTTTACGAGTTGTGTTTTCTTGTAGTTCTCATTTCTTATTCTTTTCTCATCTGATTTCAATAACAGGGTTTTATTGGTCTTTTAGAATGAGTCGAGGAGTATTCCTTTTTTCCTATTCCTTGAAGATGTTGTATAAGATTGTGATGATATGTATTTTGAACATTTGATAAAACTTGCCTATAAAACTGTCTTGTCTTAGTCTGGTGTTATCTTTGCAGGAAGTTTTTAAACTACTGATCCAATTACTTTAATTGGCATAGAACTATTAAGCCTGTCTGTTTCTTCTGAAGTTAGCTGCTCCCCCCTCTCCCCAGGCCCCAGGAATTTGTCCCTTTTGTATCTGCTTTCAAATTTATTGGCATAAAGTTAGTCATAGTGTTCTCTTATTTTTTGTTAAATCTTTGCTGTATCTATAGTTACGTTTTTCTTTATGTCCCCCCCCCCC